AAATCAAAAATTTGTCTAACATGCAAGTTGTCTATTATGAGTTGTCTTATCTTGAGCGTCTTAGGAAACTTAATTTATTGCCTATATATTACTGGCTTGAAATAAAGGATCTCATCTTTTTTTTTTTAATGCAAACAAGGTCTCTACGACCTACATAGATATCTTCTCTTTTGTCACATTTTTTAACCGAATTGTCATTTTTTAACCGAATTGTCTTTCTGTGGAACAATCTCTCTCCGATCATTCGTAACAGTTCGTCTGTTTCATCCTTTAAGCTCCAGCTCCATTCTCACTACTCTTCTCAATTAGACTCTTCTTTCGATGTTAACAGAATGCGCACTTGGAAAACCTACTGCTCTAAATGCCGTTCTTTCAACTTAAGCTGTTGCTCATAATCTAAACTATTAATTTTTATATAGCTATGTAAATAGGGTTCTAGTCCTTGCATTTAATGTATGTCTACTTATTGTATTGTATCAGGTTGATCTTCACATGGGACTGATGTCCTGTTGACCATACCTTCAATCATTGTTATTATTTTTTGTATGATTGTAAAATTAATAAATTAAAAAAATAAACGCAATGATAATTTATCTCTTGAATTACGTCTCGGAAACTGCGTTGGAAATTTAAATGCTGTCCATTACATATAGATTACCGTTTACATATTTGTATAATCCATTTTGATCTCATGTAAGGAATTATTTCTCAGCCCAGAGACATAGCCCAAAGACTTTTAACATTAACGTCCTTGTGATTTTATAAAGATAGATCCTGAATTAAGGATATTAGAAGGAATTATCTGTATCTTCTCTGATATGTTGTTTACGTCCAACACGCATAAGATTGCATAACTCAAAATGATTCGAGCTAAACCGGTCTTTTGTTAAAAGGAAGACTGGTTAATAGAAATTGGTCCTTTTGAGTGACATATAATCGTGTATCGTCATCGAGCCGTGTCGCTGAACAATGAAAAACTATGCTGTGAAATTAGTGAGATAAAATAGCATTTTGTGAGAAAACTGCGGGTCTACGGAGCGGGAACTTTTCGGATTTGAACTCACCGTGTTCGAAAGTGTTAGTTCCCTTAAAAATATTTCATATCTCCGACATGCTTAATGAAATCGTTTTCTCGGCACTTTTTGAGGTCACAACACACGGACTATATGTTGTATGGACATTCCATTCCAATAAGATTCCATCGCTATACAATCGGTTCGGTTTGTAATTTTGGGAGACGGCCCAATTTCGTTATCTTTTTCCGAATTGAGAAGCTTCGCCATGGCGATTACCGTCGTTGAAAAGGCGCACTGAAGTTGTCAAGCTTACCTTCTTTTTTTTTTACATGTTTTATACTTTTATAATTTATACAAATTAAATTTTGTAAAGAAACGTTTCAAAAGGTAAGGATGCATCTTGGAATGAAAACAGTACAAGTTCAGGGTTTCAAGAATTTGTGGCTGCTAACCGTAAAACAACAACAAATTAATTAGTAAAATTGCATACTGTTCATATTTGCGAAATCTATAAGTCATTCTTAACTCTACATTTTGTTCATTTTTCTGTCAGTTGTTAATGTAAAATTAACAGCGATTAATACAGCGATTAATACAGTATAGTTATTGATCATTTTAGCAGAGATTTCAGTTTATGAGGATTTCGGCAATTCAGCCTGGCCAGCATTTTATACTTCTATATGTGTTTATAGTAGGCTATAGTAGCTCTTTACAAATATGCACTTCTGGTTAATTTTACCGTATTTTTACCGCCGGGAAACAAAATTAAAACTAGAATGTAGTCTATACCCGTACATAGCTCCCGTTTATTCTGAGAGATTTTACCCCACATTAAAGAATAATTTTTTATTAAGATTTAAGCTTAAGATTTCCTTTTGTTTTCAATTTGTACTAATTATATATATGATTTTCATGTTACCATGGCAATCAGTTTTTTTAATTATGACTGTCCGCTAAGAAAGGGCGAGGGGTTGCTGCATGCAAATAATTATTATTACAAATTGTTGTTTAATTGTGAAATTAAACAACAAAAGTGCAAAAGATAAAACTACCTGGCTGCCATGGCAACACTAACATCGTTTGTATATCGACAGTACAAGACTTCTGAACTTTCCTGGAAATGATTATATTACCCTGGCTTTAGTGTATCCAACATAAATTTATAGTTGAAAGCGAAGGTTACCTAAAATACTTAAAACTTTATAGAGAACTGTGGGGAGCCACCTTAACTGCATTTTGGGAAGTTAACTATAACCTAACTGTTAAATACAAAGCGGATAGTTAAAAAGTTGTATGAGTTTTATACTGGATTATACCTGACTGGCCCCATATAGTATACATTTATTATGCATGTATACAAATTTGCCTTCCAAAATTCCGTCAATACAAAAAAAACAGTTACTATTCAGTGGTTCTTTCGAACGAGATCTGATGCCAAAAAATCTCAATATTTAACTGTGTCTAACTTTTGTGAAAATAGAATAGTTCGTAGCGTCAAATAAAAACCTAAAAGAAACTATAATGTTGAGGACTATCTCGAAGGCAATTCTCGACATATATTGGTACAGAACATTATTTGATTCATATATCTAACTACCAGAGATTTGCGGGTAGATTTGGATTGCAGTTGGTATATAATAACAGCGCTAGCATAAAGGCTTCCAGCTGTCTGGTTTGTTATTACCAGGGTGAATTTGAGGGTGTATTTCCGAGAAGCGGCGCAGTTTAATCGCAAATATTTATTCGGCGCACAATTATCCCAAAGATCCATTTGGCGCAGAAATTTGGCAAAGCCAAAGATTTGGTGAAGCAAAAGTTTGAAATTTCCAAATATCTCTATCTGACGGTAGAATTTCGTTTCGTTTTCAAACTCTTACGGTTAGCATACCGTTTTCAAACTCCTATACGGTTAGCGTTACGGTTTCACATTTTGTCATACCGGCATCGTGTGAACGCAACCCCTAAAAATAGGCACTCAAAGAGTGCGTAAGGATTTGCAATTTTGTTGTCAATTTTATAACGCAAGAAAGATGTAGTATAACAAAACACAACATCATGCATGAGAAATCTTTTCTTCGAATGTCAACTTTGTTTAATTACTGTTATATTCAAAGTTAATCTACTACAACTTTTAAATGGCTTTATCACTGCCTCAAAGATAAAAGAATAACTGAATTTGTAGAAATGTTGAAGATATTTTATAATTTAACGTTTGGATAAAAAAAAAAATTATTTCGATGTTTTCGCATTCCGCAACAGGCAAACACTTCTAATTCATTTCCAATGAATACGAATGAAAAATGGAACAATACAGTTTTTATAGTGGAAACACCGCTTTGATTTGATTTTATCTTTAACTTTTTCAAACGTACACAAACCATTGTTTAGGACAACAGCTGTGTCGCTTCTTGACGAGTGCAATTTCAAAGCTGTCACAATATGCGTGTTTCCGGGCATAAATCCGAAAGCAGTATTCACTGATACTGCAGGCGACACATAGAAGTGAAGCAAAAACAAATTTCACAGTCTCTGCGCACTCCCTGCTTTGACAGCTCAATATCAGCTAGTTCTGGTGAATTTGCATTAGTAAACGATGCGCGAAATGAGTCCGAGGGTTTAGTTTGTACTCCAACTACTAACTGCCCGCAGTCACCTGTAATGATCCAGAATTTCGCCTCTCACAGCCAAGAGACAGTTAATTTTCATGCTGGGGCTTTTGCTGCATGGTGCAAGCCTGGTTCACATTGATCGGCGATGTTCTACGATCCATTGTCTGTGAGCAACGAAGAAGAAAATGCACAAAACATTTTATGCATCAATGACCACCGACAATAGACATCGCCGATGTTTACGATCAATGTGAACCAGGCTTTAGTTGTACTTCTGTACGTTTGGGAGTGAAGCTTCTTTATTGTTTACAATTTTGTATACTGTACATTGTAAAGAGTTCTCGTGAATTTTTTGCTGTTAAGCCCATCTAACAATACACATAATATGCCTGTTCCCTCGGGAAATAGTTAGTTTTGTTTTCCCTCGAATCTCAATGTTTCCGTCGACTTTGTCTCGGATAACATTGGAGACTCTCCGAGAAGACAAAACTAACTATTTCCCTCGGGAGCCGACATTAAGTGTTTTATATTAACCAGGGGATTAAACCTCGTGCAAAATACACAGTTAAACATACCATGTCCATAGTTTATAGCTTAGTTATCTTGTAGATATTTTATCCTTCGTCTTGAAGCTAACAAGTAACAGTATTGTTATAATCATATAAGAACAGATGGAGTACGCGTCTATATATACACAGGTGTCAAAATAAATATTTAAGTTTTCTAAGAAACGAGTACGCTTCCAGGTATAGTTAGCTTATAAATACAGTATACGCTAATTCGCTTTCGCTTCAGTCGGCTTTCCTAAATTGCATCATGAAAATTAATACGCAGTTTTATCCCGTGTCGAGCTCAGATACTCGTATAAAGTAGAAGACATAGCGAAGTTTGAACAGCATCTACGGCATCTACGTAGACAAAAGGTCTTATACCCCAAAACACTCTATTGAGGCTATTATGGCAAGCCAACTGTAGCAATATTCAATAAACACTGATTCAACGTCAATTCAATGGAAAATTCAACTTCAATTCAATTGAAATTCAACTTCAATTCAATGAAAATTCAACTTCAATTCAGTGAAGATTCAACTTCAATTCAATGGAAATTCAACTTCAATTCAATGAAAATTCAACTTCAATTCAATGGAAATTCAACTTCAATTCAATGAAAATTCAACTTCAATTCACTGGAAATTCAACTTCAATTCACTGGAAATTCAACTTCAATTCAATGAAAATTCAACTTCAATTCAATGGAAATTCAACTTCAATTCAATGAAAATTCAACTTCAATTGAATGAAAATTCAACTTCAATTCAATGAAAATTCAACTTCAATTCAATATTCCAATATATACAATTTTATATTCCTGCAGAAACCTTGGAAGATCTTCGTGGAATTGGATTTTCATGGCAAAAGATTGCCCAGTTGTTTGGGGTTTCTCGATGGACTGTCTATCGCCGAGTCCAGGCATATAGCTTGCAAAACATGCAACAGTTCAGTTTGTTATCAGATGCAGAAATAGATGACATAGTTGCAGAATATTTAGGTCGTCATGGTTTCACAACAGGACGAACGTATTTAGCAGGTTACTTGAGGTCACTAGGATTACGAGTACAGAGAAGAAGGGTTCGTGAAAGTCTGACTAGGGTGGACCCTCAAAATACTGCTTTGCGATGGGGAATTGTTATGGCTCGTAGAAATTACTCGGTACCGTGGCCCAATTCATTGTGGCATTTGGATGGTCACCACTCTCTTATTCGTTGGGACCTTGTGGTACACGGGTGCATTGATGGTTTATCAAGACGAATCATGTTCCTGAAATGCAGCAACAACAACCTCTCGCAAACTGTTTTGGAACTGTTCATGAATGCAATTGAGAAAGATGGCCTATGGCCATCACGTATTCGCGTTGACCACGGGGTGGAAAACGTATTGGTATGTGATGCCATGGTGAGTGCAAGAGGTGAATGCAGGGGAAGTTTTATTGCCCGTTCTCCCACAAGAGACCAGAGAATTGAAAGACTTTGGAGAGATGTGTTTAGGTGTGTATGTAGCTTTTGGAGGGTTCTAATCATCATCGGGTAAGAACAGCCATCACTGAAGTTGAAGTTGAATTTCCATTGAATTGAAGTTGAATTTTCATTGTATTGAAGTTGAATTTCCATTGAATTGGAGTTGAATTTCCATTGAATTGAAGTTGAAATTTCATTGTATTGAAGTTGAATTTCCATTGAATTGGAGTTAAATTTCCATTGAACTGAAGTTGAATTTTCATTGAATTGAAGTTGAATTTTCATTGAATTGAAGTTGAATTTCCATTCGAAGCAGCTCAAAACGTACTGCCATGCTGAATTTAGCCTGGGAACAGGCTGCTGCGATTCTACGGTTTTCTCACTGACCTATTATGTAGTCCATTGAACACTTATTCCCGCATATTGCTCTGATTGGCTATGCACGGTCACAAGCTAAATACTAGTCACTGATTGGCTGCAAGCTAACAGCTAACGCAAACTCGATAGCATAGTATATCTGCTGCGCAGATACAAAAATCTTCCATGATTGGCAGGAAATCAAAGTTCTTGCAGGGCAAAGGCTCCCTGATACAAAGATGATGCAAAGATGCAAAGGAATTAGGTTGACCCTGATATGATTAAGGTTACAGAACACCTTTGAGTGTTAATTTTGCCTAAAATTTTTTTATTGGTTTCCATGAAAGCATTAGACTAGTTCTACTATCTGACAAAGTTTGAACGAAAAATGTTGAAAACTCGCGGAGTTATTTAATAAAATACA